GCCGGAGGTGGGTATAGTTTATTGTACACCCCCGCACCCCCAGACCTGGAAGGGCGGGCATTGGGATGTGGACATGTGTACTGTCTCAGACCCTGTTGGAATATAACCAGTCTGTCAATCGGGTCAACCCAAGTGTTGCGTTTCCAAAAGGGTCGCCCATGTTGGAATCGATGAACGCCCTAGTAATATTGTTGAAAACATCTTAATAACTTATTAAACCAAAGGCCTTTTTATGTCAGAAGAACGGCAGAAACTAGATCTATATGTGAAAACTCTTTCAGGACAAAATTTAAAGTAAAACTAGATTATGTAAAACTAGATTAAAGTAAATTTATGTTTCTATCTTTCTTGAGACGTATAAAAATCTTACGTTTATTAACGATTCTGCGTGAAATAATCATTGTTCTGAGATGAATATTGCGGATTTCCGGCTCTACGACCGATGAAAAATGTAACTTTTATACAACTACAAATATCTTTAGTTTTACTTTAAATTTTGTCCTGAAAGAGTTTTCATATATAGATCTAGTTTCTGCCGTTCTTCTGACATAAAAAGACCTTTGGTTTAATAAGTTATTAAGATGTTTTCAACAATATTCCAACTGGGTCTGAGACATTTACACTGGCGGGCGGCGTTCTTGCCAACTATATGGCTGTTAAGTTGAAAATTGTAACTGTTAAGAGCATTCTATTGTGGTTTTAATATTGAACAATTATACATATACGAAACAGACAAATCTGGTGTCCGAAATAGTAAAAATATTAGTGTGCGATGTGATCAATGTAAGGGGGATATTGGGTGTGCCTCGTATCCCCTACAACAACAACAAGTTCGAGAGCGATGAGGCCGCCACCTACTAGCTTCAGGATGTCGTCGAATCTAAATCAACAATATACTACCGCCGCTACTTTCTCGGAAACGTAAGTACCTGCCGCTATACTTCTCTCACCCTGCCTAGCCTGGCCTGGCCTGACCTGGCCTAGCCAGACCTGACCTGGCCTAGCCAGACCTGACCTGGCCTAGCCAGACCTGACCTGGCCTAGCCTTACCTAGCCTTACCTAGCCTAGTCTGACCTGGCCTAGTCTGACCTGACCTGGCCTAGCCAGACCTGACCTGGCCTAGCCAGACCTGACCTGGCCTAGCCTTACCTAGCCTAGTCTGACCTGGCCTGGCCTGACCTGACCTGGCCTAGCCTTACCTAGCCTTACCTAGCCTAGTCTGACCTGGCCTAGTCTGACCTGACCTGGCCTAGCCTTACCTAGCCTAGTCTGACCTGACCTGGCCTAGCCTTACCCAACACTAATCACCACACGTGACAGCCCAAACGAATCGCAAATAAGTACACGTAACAAGTCATATGCCCGGACACTCTTTCACCTTGGGGACTGAGTGGTAACTATTGTATAGAAGAGCCGGCTCCCTGAGAGTGGTAAGAGGGCGTGATAAGAGGCTAATGTGTGGTCTTGAAGGAAGTCGATAAAGCAGACAATTTTCAAAAGGAAGGGCAGCATAACGAGCAGACAGGAATGGACAGACAGTCGGTTATCCCATAATGTGTAATACGCCCCGCACAGCATGGGTGGAGTGGAGGGGGGGGGGGGGGTTGTAGCACGGCACAGTATGGTGATGGTGCGGGTGAAGTACACACCCACTGAATTCCTGCCATCAATAATTGTTTTCATAACCATTAGAACAATGGCATCCCTCCAGCCACCATCCTTCCACTGACCCCCTCCTCTGGTCCTCCACCTCAGACAATAACCCCCCACACCCCCTCTCCCTTCCAGACATCAGCATGTCAAAATCAGTACCATAATGTGTTTAAACTATTTAAACTAAGTCATTGTGTATCTCAAGGTATCTTAATTCATTTGAAAGTGTACATGTGCATTCGTTCATATACTCGCCTAATTGTGCTTGCTGGGGTTGAGCTCTGGCTCTTTAGTTCCACCTCTCAACCGTCAATCAACAGGTGTACAGGTTTCTGAGCCTATTGGGCTCTATCATATCTACACTTGAACCTGTGTATGGAGTCAGCCTCCACCACATCACTTACTAATGCATTCCATTAGATATAATCATATATGATTACACATAATCATAATCATTCCATACACATAATCATATATGTGTACGTCAACGTATACATACGTGCGTATATATGCCTCATATTAAAATACTGATAAACGAATGACCATGAACAAATTAATTTATAATTGTAGCATTATATATAATTTTAATAGACTAATTACGTGTTTATACATTTGAATGGTCCAGACAGGTGGCCAGCCTTGGACATATACACTTCTGGTAGGCACAATGACCTCATGTTAGACCCTTGATAGATTATGTGAGAGAGAGAGAGAGAGCTGGGGCAGGGAGGTGCGTGCCCCAGGGAGATAATCCATGCCCATGCCCATGCCCCGCCTCGAGGTCAGTTCTCGAGTCACACCAAGAATAACAATCGAGCAAGTTGTCCTGACCAGGATGTGGCATATTAGGGAGGGTTGAGGAATAGGAAGCCTGTCTGATAGGGCTCTTGGCAAGCAGCTCTCCCTCAGTCTACCTATCTATATGGAAGAAATGTATCTAGGCCCTCCTCCCCCCTGCCTATTCTCTCTCCCCCACCTTTCTTCCTTCATTTCCTCCCTCCCCCTCACTGGTGAGAGAGTAGGAGTGTGAGAGTGGTTAGAGAACTCGTAGTTCTCGCGCTCGTGAAATTGTCTGCGACCCTGGAGGAGTAGAGCGGAGGGGGGGGGAGTGAAAGTAGGTGACGATGGAGGAGTAGAGGGGAGCATTATATGCAGTGAACGTTAAGTTAGGTTAGGTTAGGTTAGCCTAACCTAACATATCATATTTATTCATTACTAACGTATTGCCAGGAAGATTTCTGAAGCTTGTGTAGCTTGTGGTAATTAGACGGACCCTTCTCATCTACATTAATGACCTTCCAAATGCCTCCCAACATCTCAAACCAATTCTGTTTGCTGACACGACCTTCATTTACTCCAGTCCTGACCCCCTTGCTCTAAATGTCACAGTGAAAACTGAGCTAAATAAAGTCCATCACTGGCTAACTGCCAATAGACTCACCCTCAACATTGACAAAACTTTCTATATTCTGTTTGGCAATAAATCCTCAAATCAAATATATCTCAGGATAAACAATACCCAAATTTGTAACAAAGTAGATGGCAAATTCCTTGGCGTTCTCATAGACCGCAAGCTGAATTTCCAGGGACACATTCTAAACATATAAAAAAAAGTTTCAAAAACTGTTGGCATTCTTTCTAAGATCAGATATTATGTACCTTGCTCTGCCTTGGTGACACTCTATTATTCTCTCATCTATCCTTATCTCAACTATGGTATTTGTGCTTGGGGTTCTACTACCCAAAATCATTTACGTCCTCTAATTACTCAACACAAAGCTGCTATTAGGACAATATCTAACTATGGCCCCAGACATCACTCGGTACCCTTACTCAAATCTCTGAATATGTTAGATATTAAGTTTTTTTATTTATTTATTATTTATTTATATATATACAAATAAATAAATAAATTTCTGCACATCCTCTCATGTGTATTATATATATATAAAACACTGAACTGTGATGTCAATCCTGACCTTAAAAGCTTCCTAATAGGTTGTCCGTTGATTAATGTATATAGACACACTGAGATAAGGACTGTTCCTGAACAAATAGCCTGGATGTGTCACAACGGAAAGGTTGATGATATTCTTGAGAGATATAAGAATTTTGCACCAAGATTGTAATATTTTGTTGAATTATCTGCATGTCTCTTGCAAATTGTCTATACAGTATACCTAGGTCATAAAAGTATTTGTGTGTACGTCTGATAACATACTCCTTGTGAAGGAGGAAATGTATATGTTTACCTCTCAGAATGCTTGGCAATATGTTTATTTGTGATGTGTGTCTATGTATATATTAACATGTTGTACTGAATGGGGTGAGAATAGCTTGAGCTACCTCATCCCTTTGTGTGTATTTTACCTCAATAAACTTATTTCAATTTCAATTTCAATAGGTTGTAACAGATCGCACGAGCTCCACACCAGAAACAAATACCTATTTGATATTCCAAGAGTACGACTTAAACTAGAAATGCTTTATAAATCATTAAGGGACCTCGAATGTGGAATGACCTTCCTAATTATGTTAAAAGACTGTACCTCTCCCAACCAGTTTAAGATAAAAACAAAATACTACCTTATTAACTCCATGTAACCTACCTCGCCCCCAAAATGTCAACCTGTCTACTACTTGAAACAATGCTGTTTGTTGACCAAATTGTATTTTTGCTTTTTTTCTGCCATGTTCCCCCCCCCCCCTTTTTTTCTCAACACAATTTATGCTTTAATCTCAATTAGTATTAAGTTTTAGTCTTAGTGTTTTTCCTGCCCGAAACGCTTTGCGTAATAGTGGCTTTAGGCATTGAATGTACTAGCTCTATCTATAAATTCATCAACTTTTTGTATCTCACCTTGTATGTACTTTACCTGAATAAATATTGTTTTTGTTTGTTTTTGTTTATTTCATGAGTCTCCTCTTGACACCAATACATGCAAGCTCGTCCAGGATCGCAATCTCCTGCGCTTTGTCGATTCTAGTGTGTGGTAAAGAACATCCAATAAATCTGTCCCCCCAGAATGAAAAAAATTGTGGCAACATTTCAACATTTCTATGCTGGCAATCACAAATATAATACCAATTAATTATTGTACCCTTTAATTCACTCAGTAATACAAAACTCACACAGGACAGCGACATTATGGCACATTTCCTTACATATGCTTATTTCTCCTTGCCAGCAAATAGGTACTGGGAGTTAGGCAGCCGCTATGGGTTTTATCAGGGAACGAGTCAGAAGTTGGAATAGAGAAACCCTTTATAATCCACACAGACATCCTGTATCCCAGAATGAAGAAAATCGTGGTAAACCATATCTTAGGCTTGAAAAAAAACAATGTTACTTCAATATGCTTTATAAATTGAGCACAATACATGTAAGTTTAGGAAAACTGAAAATTATTAACTAACTTGTGCAAAAATTAGAAAAATAATCAACTAGTGAGAATCAGCACAGTTTGGTTCACAAAATAAAGTTGGAGAACCAGGAATGTATTGTGTTGTAGGAGGAGAGGTCTTATCTGTACAATGATTCACACACACTAGCAACAGTTTATGTAATCTATTTCCACCCACCCATCCCTCCCAATGTCCAATAAGAACATCAATACAATAACTATTGATGCCACCAAGTGGCCGATACTACATCATCATTACACAAGTAAATGATGCGATATCAATACTGATAATTTAACACTTGTGCAGTTTTAAATATCACGTTTTGTTTTGTGAATTACTGAAAATGTAATAATTTGTTATGGTTACAGAAATTAAATGCTTAACCTACAAGACTGACAAATCTTAATTTTAAGGTATTTATTACTTAAAATACGACAATACAATATTTGCCAAATGTTCTGTGCAAGGCGGTCGATTAGAGCTAAGTGTCACACCTTGCCAACCTAACATATTTAACAAAAAGTTATATACACTTACCTAGTGAATAAAATTGTTCTTTAGCACAAGTCAATCCTAAGCTCCAGATAATGAACCATCAACACACAAATGTTACAAATGATGACAAATTCTAACGGCTCATTAGTCCTTTCACATGTGTAGTAATTTATATACTGGATATTAATGTTGGTAAAAAAAAACATACTACTCATAATATATTAAAATATGAGGTAGGAGAAATTGTATGAATACATCAAGATTAAAATTCATGATCAAAATACTGTTGATAAACTTCAGTAACCGAGAGCCCATTGATTACTACAAGAACTTTATATAAACAACAAAAGCATCAGGAATGTTTAACCACCTATCTTAGAAAAATAATGTGCATTATAAAATGACAACCAGAGAAAGGAGGACCTGCAAGTGTTACGTGTACAGTGAACAACTGCCAATCAGTTTTGCTTTGTAAACCATGCTCTCGACATCACCACATGTGAAAGGTCAAGTCTAACTCTTTCACAATTTACTAGTCAATATATTGTTGTAAACACAAGACAAAAATTACCAATTTATATAAAGATTTCACTTTCATAGATAGATAAATGATCAATAAAAATTAATCATTTAACTATAAACAGCTATAACAAAAAAACGTGTAGTTATTACCTGATTAAAGCAAAATGACTCTAGTACTTTTTAAAATCCAGTAAAATTCAATCAATTTGCATGTCAAAAGAGTTGGATTATGAGAGTCAAACACTCAAATTATTACTTTACTGCACAACACTAAGGATGGCTATATTTTCCTTTATGTCTTGTGTATATATTTTACACCACAAAAATCATTGCTTCCCAGCAATAAGATAATTGATCCCCAGCAATAAGATAATTGATCTTACATTGCAATGCTCAAAGTGAAAAGCAATGATTAATGAGAAACTGCACACGTGCACACACACTTTTAATCTCTCCTGCACTTAACGTACTGTATTACTTCACAGACAGGGAGTGCACTGTTGCACTTAACAACAGTGCTCATTAATTTGCAACATCACAAGCTGCTGGCTTCCTGTCCCTGTTGGGGCCACATGAGATAGAAGCCATTGCAATCAATCTTTTACACAATAACTGTCCCATCAATATTGCAAGGTGGTTTTGTTTATCAATATTGCAAGATAAAAGTTTATGATAAAACTCAAAACAGCAGTGGCTGAAAACCTCACTTTGAGATCGTAATGACAACAATCTATGAACACAGCAGTATTAAATTTGCCATAGGCCTATGATTTTAACACTGCTATTCACAACCAATCAAATCTGAATTCCTACTAAATAAGCATTGTACTGTATTATATGTACAAGGAACTATAATAAACTAAATACTGTACTGGGCACAACAAATATAAAAAAATAATTTCCTCTTTAAACTTCAACTGTAGATGTAACAAACCTAATTAATCTGCGATATCAAACGTAGTTTTGAAAATACGTAAATCATACTAGACCAAATTCAACTGAATCTACAACTGAAAAGGTTTTCACACATGCACACACATATTTACCATAATGCTACAGAGATATCCTTTACTTTCAAGAAAATATAGTAAGGATACACACAAAATGTATACCCTAATAAACTGCCATGTTCTCGCAGTTATACCGATAATTTTGAAACAATGATACTAGCCTCACAAAACGCATAAACTCCCATACTATTTACAGACTAAATATTTGATCTAACCATAAAAGCAGACTTCCAAATCTTATCTTGTTTATCAGCCAACATATGCAACAATCAAATTAATCCACCTAAAATTCAAAAACTATATAGACATAGCACGCTATTGTGATTTCATTGTGCACTTTCCAAAGACTAGTTGCACTGACAAGATTTACAAAAACAAAAGTCAAGTTCTGGCTGGAAGAGACACAACAGGGGGGGTGGGTGGCATAAAGGCAATCTATGCAGCAGAGGTCAGTGCAGTCTACTCGGCTGCAATGACCCAGGTTCAATCGCCATACAGAATGAGATATTTGAATACATTTCCTTCCACCTGATTTCTAGGTTCACCTAGCAGTAAATGGGGATAGTAGCCAGGATGGTACGCAAATGTTGTAGGTAGCATCCTGGGGAGAGCATCCTGGAGGGAGGTCAGTATTGTAGTTTACATAGGGAGACCTTGATAAGCCCAACAAGCTTCTTGTTTCTGACTCGAGGAAAACATATTTATATATATACACTCTGTTAATTTACTTTATATTCTGTACTGTATATACATTTTAATGCTATTAGTACACCTAGGAGTTTAATCTGGAAAGGAAGGGGGGAAGGAGGCAATTTTCCAAATACTGAAAGTAACAATTGACTTGCACATTTCTCAAGTACTGTACATCAAAAGAAAGCATAATATATAATGGGTATATTATATAATAGATTGAATGTAACACCCGAGTACCAACTGTTTTGTTCATTGGTATCTTGCCTATTTTAAGGGCAGATGTACCCTATTAGGTTAGTTCAAACAGATTAAACAATGAAAAATTAAGTATTAAACAGATTTAAGATGTGAACATTTTCTTTTAATCTTCACTTCAGTATAAAAAAAATTTGCATGCATGTAAATACTATTTCAGAGAACTGGTCTGTCTGTATACAGTGTAGTATAATCTATAATTTAAATGTTATGTACATATGTCCTAATATTTTAGTCAGATTATATGGGTGCAGGACAAATTTGCTCCCCCCTTTGGGCAAACCACTGATATCAGCCCATAACTGTGTTCATGATTATATTTTTGATGCCTTAAGCTGGCTTTAATACAGCAATGAGATAATAAAATTGCGTTCTTCTCAGCATTGCTGAGATGCAGTAAAGCAGGCTACCTTATTTTATTGTGTTCAAGTTATTCATTAATTACCAATTTAAAATGATACCTTCGAACAGCAAAACTTTTAATATACTTAAAGTTGAATACATGAACATGGCAGCATTGTTCTCACTATAAAGTGAAATACATGAACACAGCAGCATTGTTCTCACTATAAAATGAAATACATGAACACAGCAGCATTGTTCTCACTATAAAGTGAAATACATGAACACAGCAGCATTGTTCTCACTATAAAATGAAATACATGAACACAGAAGCATTGTTCACACTATAAAGTAAAGTACATGAACACAGCAGCATTGTTCTCACTATAAAATGAAATACATGAACACAACAGTATTGTTCTCACTATAATTTGTGATTGTCTTGAGGAAAAGCTATACTATAATACACTTTACTTGTCAACAGGTAAAACTACTGTGTTATCATGTACTATACTTGTATAAGAGCTACCTGGTACAACAAAGGCAATGTTGCACTTTCTCTTCTTACATATAAAGGAATGTGATTATCTTCATTAACTTTTTACCACTTGCCTCCTGAAACTAAAACAAACAAAATCTTAAGTTAACTCCGAAGATCCTGTACGTCATCTGCTGCTGAATTCACAAGACCATAAATTGTCACAGGCTTTGTTCCAGTTGGCACTCTTGGCTCTTCGATGTTGCAAAGCTGCAACATTTGATGTTTTAAGGCGTTAATGCTAGAGACGTGATGCTCCAGGCTTTGGTTCTAATGAGAAGCGCATAATCATCGTGTTGTCATTTCCTTTTTCGCTGGTGTATCCAAGTGAACCATAGAAAGGTTTCATTTCATCTTTACAGTCTAATCCCAGCTTGTAACAGCCTACTTGCTTTGCCAGAAGTGTGATGGTGGTGACAATTCTGAGGAGGAATAATTAGGTCATTAATACCAGCTGCTTGTATAGAAAATGAGTTTGTGAGAGCAATGAGGAAGACAGATGCAGTATAATGAGTTGAAGTAAGCCTAGTTGATGCAAGTTATTGATAATAAATGTGTTTTTTTGTTATTGTGAATATGATATATATATATATATATATATATATATGTCGTACCTAGTAGCCAGAACGCACTTCTCAGCCTACTATGCAAGGTCCGATTTGCCTATTAAGCCAAGTTTTCCCGATTTAATATATTTTCTCTAATTTTTTTCTTACGAAATGATAAAGCTACTGATTTCATTATGAATGAGGTCAATTTTTTTCATTGGAGTTAAAATGTGTGTGTAATTACCTAAGTGTAATTAGCTAAGTGTAGTTACAGGATGAGAGCTACGCTCGTGGTGTCCCGTCTTCCCAGCACTCTTTGTCATATAACGCTTTGAAACTACTGACGGTCTTGGCCTCCACCACCTTCTCACTTAACTTGTTCCAACCGTCTACCACTCTATTTGCGAAGGTGAATTTTCTTATATTTCTTCGGCATCTGTGTTTAGCTAGTTTAAATCTATGACCTCTTGTTCTTGAAATTCCAGGTCTCAGGAAGTCTTCCCTGTCGATTTTATCAATTCCTGTTACTATTTTGTATGTAGTGATCATATCACCTCTTTTTCTTCTGTCTTCTAGTTTTGGCATATTTAATGCTTCTAACCTCTCCTCGTAGCTCTTGCCCTTCAGTTCTGGGAGCCACTTAGTAGCATGTCTTTGCACCTTTTCCAGTTTGTTGATGTGCTTCTTAAGATATGGGCACCACACAACAGCTGCATATTCTAGCTTTGGCCTAACAAAAGTCATGAACAATTTCTTTAGTATATCGCCATCCATGTATTTAAATGCAATTCTGAAGTTAGAAAGCATAGCATAGGCTCCTTGCACAATATTCTTTATGTGGTCCTCAGGTGATAGTTTTCTATCTAGAACCACTCCTAGATCTCTTTCTTTATCAGAATTCTTTAAAGATTTCTCACATAATATATAGGTTGTGTGGGGTCTATGTTCTCCTATTCCACATTCCATAACATGACATTTATTAACATTAAATTCCATTTGCCAAGTGGTGCTCCATATACTTATTTTGTCCAGGTCTTCTTGAAGGGCATGACAGTCATCTAAATTTCTTATCCTTCCTATTATCTTAGCATCATCAGCAAACATGTTCATATAATTCTGTATACCAACTGGTAGATCATTTATGTACACAATAAACATCACTGGTGCAAGAACTGAACCCTGTGGTACTCCACTTGTGACATTTCTCCATTCCGATACATTGCCTCTGATTACTGCCCTCATTTTTCTATCAGTCAGAAAATTTTTCATCCATGATAGAAGCTTACCTGTCACCCCTCCAATATTTTCCAGTTTCCAGAACAACCTCTTATGTGGAACTCTGTCGAAAGCCTTTTTTAGGTCCAGATAGATGCAGTCAACCCAACCATCTCTTTCCTGTAATATCTCTGTGGCTCGATCATAGAAACTGAGTAAATTCGATACACAGGATCTTCCAGATCGAAAACCATACTGTCTGTCTGATATTATATCATTTCTCTCTAGGTGTTCTACCCATTTAGTTTTGATTAGTTTTTCCAATACTTTCACTATTACACTTGTCAATGATACAGGTCTATAATTGAGGGGGTCTTCCCTGCTGCCACTTTTGTAGATTGGAACTATGTTAGCCTGTTTCCACCCGTCTGCTACGATTCCTGTACACAGGGATGCCTGAAAGATCAGGTGAAGTGGAATGCTGAGCTCAGATGCACATTCTCTCAGAACCCATGGTGAAACGCCATCTGGGCCAGCTGCTTTGTTCTTACCGAGCTCCTTGAGCATTTTTTCCACTTCGTCTCTAGACACCTCTATGTGTTCTATGTTGTTCTCTGGAATTCTTATTGTATCTGGTTCCCTAAAGATTTCATTTTGTACAAACACACTTTGGAACTTTTCGTTTAGTGTTTCACACATTTCCTTTTCATCTTCCGTGAATCTATTTCCCATTTTCAACCTCTGAATATTATCCTTTACCTGCAATTTGTTGTTTATGAATTTATAGAATAGACCTGGTTCTGTTTTACATTTGTCCGCAATCCCTTTTTCAAAATTTCTTTCTGCCTCTCTCCTCACTGCCGTGTAGTTGTTTCTCGCATCTTTGTATCGCTGGTATGTTTGGGGGTTCGGCCTCTTCCTGTATTGATTCCATTTTTGTGTCTTTCGGTCTCTAGCCCTCTCGCAATTTCTATTGAACCAATCCTGTTTCCTAGTTCTGCATCTCTGTTTTGGTATAAATTTTTTTGTGCCTTTATCATATATTTCACAAAACTTGCCATACATCTCATTCACTTCCTTGCCTAGCATCAAGTCTGTCCAATTATACTCACTAAAAAAATTTCTAAGGTCACCATAATGTCCTCTCCTGAAGTCTGGTTTTTCAACTGCTTCAACCTCCTTATTTTCTTCCAGCTTATAACGCATTGCATACTTTATTCCCAAAAAGACATGGTCACTTTTACCCAAGGGAGGAAGGTACTGAATGTCAAATATCTCTTCCTCCTTCCTGGTAAATATCAAATCTAGCATGGAGGGAACGTCCCCTTCCCTCATCCTCGTAGCTTGTTTAACATGTTGATACAAGAATGTTTCCAGGATGAGGTCTACAAATTTACAGGTCCAAAAATCTTCTGTTTTAGCTTCATATGCTTCCCAGTCTATGGATTTCAAGTTGAAGTCACCGACTATCAACAGTCGTGATCTATCGTTATCCGCTCTCGCTATAATCTCTCTCATTATTGTTATAAGACCTTCACGTTTACTATCTAGCTCCTCCTTTGACCATGTGCTGCTTGGCGGTGGACTATATGCATTTATCATCATTAGTTTATCATCCTCATAGCAGATCTCTAGTGCTATTATGTCAACTTCTTGTGGATTGGCAGTCATTATTTCCTTCACCTTTAGGTGTTCTTTTACCAGCACAGCAACGCCACCGCCTTTCCTAATTTTTCTGTCCCGTCTCCAAATTGAGTAGCCCCTTGGGAATATGACCTCATTTAAAATTACATCTTCAAGTTTTGTCTCCGTGAGTGCAACAATGTCTGGTGTCTGCAGCTGTATTACATCACTTAACTCCAGTATCTTCGATCTCACTCCATCTATGTTGGTGTATGCAATCTTCAGGAACTTGTTCCCCCTCTCCTTATTCTTCACTCCCCCTCTCTCTATTGATTTTGTTGGTTTGCCTTTATGTACCACTTTACTGGTTTGCCTACCCCTATCACTTTGTAGAAAAAAGAATTTATTTCTTCTTCATTCCTGCTCTCATTTAAATGTTTTGCCTCGGCGAGGTTCAGTTTCAGCTTCTCTCTATCTTCTTTTGAAAGATCTCGTCTTAACGACCACCCTTTCCCATCCTCATCCCTTTGCAATTTTCTAGCATTCCTTAGTACTTCTTCCATCTGTTTGGCACCGTTTAGGGTGATCCTCAAAGGTCGATCTTTCCCTTTTACGTACCTGCCTATTCTCCTGTAGTCGCACACATTCTCTCTGTTTGTAAGACCTTCCACGAGGCCAACAATTTTATCTACTACTTTAGCTTCTTCTACAGCTCTTTCTGACCTAGATGTTATCGCCTTTTCTTTGCAGCCAAAAATGATCAGGGACTTACTCCGATCAACTGTGTTTTGCACCAACTTCGGGTTAGATGCCAATTCTTTCCTCACTTCTAGCCTAATGTTTGTTTTATCTTGGTTGCTGCAGTGTTTGACTTCCTTTACTGCTTCTTCTATTTTTTCCTTCTCCTTGGCCACTTGTGCATAAGTGAGTTGCATATCTTTCTTGCACTGTTCTATTCCCTGTGTAACTTCCTCCATCTGTGCTGACAAAAGCTGTTTCTCCTGTTGAATTTCCTTGCCTAACCTATTGTAGTCATTTATGTTTAAATTTACTTTAACTTCTTCCAAAGCTATTTTTAAGAGTTTATTTTCTTCTTCCATGGCTTTGCAATTTGTTTCCAATTGATTCTTATCCTTGCGCAAGTCTTTCACTAAACCCTCAAGACATAAAACTTTGCTATTCAAATGGTCATTACTTTCTTTCAATTTACTAATTATTTCTACATGAGAGTTCACTATAGTATCTAAATTTACCAACTTGTTATGTAGACTACTAATATCAATGCTTTCTTCATTGAATCCCTCAAAATCAAGCTCTGTTTTGTTTTTCCCCTTGCCAGTGGCCATCTTGAATGTTCTTCTCTGCACTGTAAACACTAGGGCAACTTTTTCTCATCCGATTTTTCACTTCCCTTAGCACTTTCCTGTTATCTCACCTATTTTTCAAGAGCACTATACCTTTATGTTCTCTGGGACACCACTCACTACCATCAACCTGTACTACAATACTTAGGATTGTTGAAATATGCTGTGTGTGTTTGTGTGTAATTACCTAAGTGTAATTACCTAAGTGTAGTTACAGGATGAGAGCTACGCTCGTGGTGTCCCGTCTTCCCAGCACTCTTTGTCATATAACGCTTTGAAACTACTGACGGTCTTGGCCTCCACCACCTTCTCACTTAACTTGTTCCAACCGTCTACCACTCTATTTGCGAAGGTGAATTTTCTTATATTTCTTCGGCATCTGTGTTTAGCTAGTTTAAATCTATGACCTCTTGTTCTTGAAGTTCCAGGTCTCAGGAAGTCTTCCCTGTCGATTTTATCAATTCCTGTTACTATTTTGTACGTAGTGATCATATCACCTCTTTTTCTTCTGTCTTCTAGTTTTGGCATATTTAATGCTTCTAACCTCTCCTCGTAGCTCTTGCCCTTCAGTTCTGGGAGCCACTTAGTAGCATGTCTTTGCACCTTTTCCAGTTTGTTGATGTGCTTCTTAAGATATGGGCACCACACAACAGCTGCATATTCTAGCTTTGG